GATAAAGAGCTCTCTTATTCTGTCTTTCTCTTTTCTTAAAATTGGTGTTAATTAGATTGTAATGTGGTCTAAAGGGGAAGTAGGCATTATTTCCAGATGTGTTTCAATTCCACTGGAAGTTCTCCATTCAGGAAGGAACTATCTGTAAAAGAGCTATCTGGGGAATACTCAGACCACAGCAGAAAACAAGACCTAGTGTGAAATTCACAACAGCGCTCCCCTTTCCTGTTATGGAGACGTACAGATGCTCATAGAAAGCTTTATCTTTTAACGCACAAAACTAAAACAGACCTCTTGCTAAACCAAAATCTGGAAAGAATACTTGAAGGCAAGATTGAAAGATTAAAAACCAATATGTCACTCTGCAGTTTACTTGGACATCCCTCAAAACTATTCATAGGGGGTCCTATGGACTGTGCTTTTTAGGTACTGATAAAGACCGAAAAATAATAAATAGGTCCATAACTGTTCCATTCGGCTTGCGTGGACTCTGCAATAGCTTTTTATGATTTCCCGCTCACTTTATGTTTTGAGTTGTGTTCTTTTGGAAAGAGATGGCGTTTGGCCTGAAGCTATGTTTTCTGTTCTCCTAAACAGAAATGCCCAAAATCTGCACGCATTTAAGAAGCATATAGTGCCAAAAAGTGTCACATTGTGTATACATATCTTTATGAACATCGTTCTCCCTCTGCTTCTCTCACACACATTGTCAATTTATCGTGATCTGCAACAGGAAGAGGATTGGTTGTTCACTAACCCCATAATACAAAAAAAAAAAACAAGTCCTGCGCTCAAACTCCCACTATTCTTGGGCGGCAGAACGACCACAGTACACATCAGGCCCAACACATACAGTAAAAACTAAAGAAAAAAAGTGTGCACGCCTGCCACATCAAGGCAGACCTCTCAGGTGGGTCCCACACTAACCATTCACCTTGCTTCCTTGAGCTTCTGTCAAATATATCTCTAATGAGACAAAAATGGGTACCCTCTAGGCCGGTGCAAGGATTTTTGGGTACATAGGCGAAGATGCCCCTCTTGCCTCCCCATCCATTAGTGGTCCCCTTGCTTCCCTATCCCTTAGTGTTCCTCTCCCCTCCCCCCTCTTTTCCCTGCCTCTCGGTGCACCCCCACCTCCTTAGTGGTCACACTCCCCTTCCTGGTGTGCCTCCTACTGCTCTTGTAGCGTTGCTGAGCGGAGCAGATCCCCTACAGGAGCTTCAGTTTTCTGTACCCAGCCGGACTGAAAGGAATTGCTCTTTCGGTGAGCACCTCCTGTCAGTCTGGCCAGGTACAGGAAACAGAAGCTCTTGTACCGTGGTCCGCTCCATCATGCTACACTCAGTGGTGTATACACACTGACAGTCACACACACTCAGTGACAAACACACAGACGTCACTGACAGACACGGACTCCCTGATCTGACACACACTCATTCATTGACAGACACACACACACACACACACACTGATTGACACTCATTGACAGACACACTGATAGTCACACACAGACGCAATGACAAACATACTCTCACTGATTTGACAGACACGCACAAAAACACACTGACACACACACACACATACACTCACTCACAGACACACATACTCACTCACACATGCACTCACACACAGACATACACTCACTAATTATTATTTTTATAATTAAACATTTTCCATCCAGCCTCCCTACCTCGAGAGCTGGTGTGGATCTGTCCCTGGGGTCCAGTGTGGCTGCTGGGACTCCCTTCTGCCAGGCCACCTTCTGGACCCCCGGGGTGCGGCTGTGGTATAATCAAAGGCAGCGAGGGAGCTCTAATCTCCCTGCTCCCTCACGGGCTGTCTACTGATGCCGGTAGCCGGAATCTGACGTCCTATTCCGGCTCCTGCGGCATCAGCAAACGGCGTGCAAGGGAGCAGAGCAGAGAGATTAGAGCTCCCTCGCCGCCTTTGATTATACCACAGCCGCACCCCGGGGGTCCAGAAGGTGGCCTGGCAGAAGGGAGTGCTTCCCTCCTGCCAGTCACTGAAATCTTGCACCCTAAGGCGGCCACCTGTGCTGCCTTATGGGCACGCCGGCCCTGGGTACCCTTTATATCCACCGTATTAAGGGTTAATAAGTATGTAGGGGTGGATATAGTACACAGGGAGTAACTAAATAACCTCCATTTGTTTAAATACACATAGGGATATGAGAGAGAGTGCAGGTAACCTTTTTTCTTTAGTTTTTAATGTATGTGTTGCTGCTGATGTGTACTGTGGTCATTGCTGCCACCCAGGGGTAGTTGGAGTTTGAGAGCAGGACTTGTATTTATTGTATTTGGATTCACTTTTGTATCCCACAGCTATGTTACAATGCTGCCGCCCATCCAGGGGCAGAATAACCACTCGGGCAGATCAGTCAGTGACAGAGGGTCTGAGGCAGTCAGGGGCCTGGCTGAACAGAGATCTCCCCAGCCAGAGATGCACAATTACACAGGATAGGTTGCCCTGACCTGCAGAGTGACACATGGCAGCAATCCTACTGCTGCCAGGTCTCCTCCATCCTCTCTGTGCGGAGCTCTGTGTGAGGGGAGGGGGCGGGGCCCAGGATAAGGGAAGTGACATCACTTTCTGCCTCCTCCTCTCCTCCTGAGTCTGCTGAGTGGCTGAAGCTAAGGAGCAGCCTGGCAGAAACAGCAGGTATATAAATCCTCCATACAATGTCACCTCCACCTCAGCCCTGTGCCTCCTCCACCTACGTCAGCACCCATCTCCCCCAGCACCCACCTCAGCCCCTATCTCCCCAAGCACCCACCTCAGCCCCTATCTCCCCAATCACCCACCTCAGCCCTGTGCCCCCTCCACCCACCTCAGCCCCGTGCCCCCTCCACCCACCTCAGCCCCCATCTCCCCAGCACCCACCCCAGCCCCGTGCCCTCCACCTCCTCAGCCCCTATCTCCCCAAGCACCCACCTCAGCCCCTGGCCCCTCCACCCACCTCAGCCCCTATCTCCCCAAGCACCCACCTCAGCCCTTGCCCTCCACACACCTCAGCCCGTTCCCCTCCACCCACCTCAGCCCCCATCTCCCCAGCACCCACCTCAGCCCCGTGCCCCCTCCACCCACCTCAGCCCCCATCTCCCCAAGCACCCACCTCAGCCCCCATCTCCCCAAGCACCCACCTCTGCCACTACACTCCCATGTACTTACTACAGCCTCTATGCTCCTTTACACCTACTTCAGCCCATATCCCACACACTGCAGCCACAATCCACAAACACATTTATAACCCCCACATAGCAGAACCCATATTATACATACAAACACAAACTACAGCCCCAGTTTCCACCAGACGCCTACTACAGCCTATCCCAAACACATTCAACAGCCAATCAGGGTTACTCCTTTCAAAAACAGTGTTTTATTAAAACACTGTTTTTGGTTGGATTAACCTCTTGAAAGCAAAACCCTGTTTGGAGACCTTGCAGGTAGGAGTCATGACTGTGTGTTTGGCAGCATGCATATAATATCTGTGTGAGAGCCACACAAAGAAAGTGGAGAAAGTAGCAGTAGCCAAAAAAACGTTGTACCAGAAGGGGGCCCTTGGTCTCCCATTGTCTGAGGGCCTTGTGAGTGGTCAGTCCACCCCTGCGCCCATCCCATGTGTTGCTTATTAAGGGTTGACAAGTATGTAGGGGTAGATATAAAGGGTACCCCTCTCTGTCTCATTAGAGATATCTTTTCCAGACGCTCAAGGAAGCAAGGTGAATGGTTAGTGTGGGACCCTCCTGATAGGTTTTCCTTGACGTGGCATACGGGCATTCCCTCCAATGGCCATTGGAGTAACTAACCTCCATTTGTTTACATATGTACATAGGGATTTAGGAGAGAGCGCAGGTAACTTTTTTCTTTAGTTTTTACTAACCCCATAATATTGTAGGATATTTATCTATCAGCTTTTCCGCTGTTGAACATTTGGTTTAACCTCTATAAATGGAAACCATAAGATTAGCCTGTTAAATACTCTATCAGTGCCAGAAGGGGAAAACATAAGAAATTAAAGTAAAGGGTGAATGACATAAAGGACACTGTGTGCCAAGCATTTCAAGTAAATGTTGCTGAATTGTAAATCTAGATTAAAAAGTACATTAAATGTTACCATTCTACCATTGTATTAAAGGAACACTATAGTGTTAGGAATACAAATATGTATTCCTAGTACATCTTTAGATTCAGGCCCCCCATTTCCCCAATTCATCTGCCAAAAAAAAAAAAAAATTTTTACTTTTTTCCAGAGGCGAATCTTGCTCAATGCTGCTTGCTGTGCTTCCCACAATCTGATCCTGGAGGTGTCGCTTCTAGGCTTCTTCTCCAATCCAATGCTCCTCGTAGGGAGAATGAGGTCAGTGATCAGGGAGCGTCCAATTAAATGCTACTCACAGGAAAGCATTGAATTCTGTTTTGATCACATGTTGAGTTTCGCTTGTTTGCTCCAGAGGAAGCAACACTAGTTGCTGTCTGAAAGACTACGGAATTGCAATGTTTTCAATTGTATGGTTAACATTATAGGGCCTCTTCATCTCATGCAAGCGCAAACTGACTCATCAATGTGGAATTACACTCCTTCTGGATATTATATATAAAATCTATCTATCTCTGGGACTCTCACCCATAAACTGAGAGAGAAAAACAGTTATCCAGAGAAAAAGTCCACATGGTTGGCTTCTTCCACTGACAGACATTTATTTCGAACATATGAGGCTTGGCTGAATAATGTGTGGCTTTTATGTTCCAAAATAATGGTTATTTTCTGCAATGGGAAAGGATGCTAAAACTGATAATTCAAAGAAAACGGAGTCTGCAATTTTCTTATTTTCAAGAACTAGCAAAAAACTGTAGATTTGTTTTAAAGATAGAATGCTTTATTTTGCAGTACATCCAAGTGTCACTTGGGAGTAGGGGAATCATCCATTAAGATATCTGGTCATTCAGAGATAATGGAAGAGGAGCATCAGAAAATGGAAGAGTTGTTCACCGTCTAGTGATAACATTTGAGTTAGGTGCAGTGGTTCAAGTGATTACATGATATCTACGTAACACCAATCCTGTCCCTTCCATTGAGCATAGAGACTAAAAGATTCCAAGGATGCCAATTGGGTGACCAGTTACAGGCAAATCATATGATCAAGACCATTCAGGAAGAAGTCAGGCTGTGGCATTTCCAAATCCTGAGCCAAGCCAAAATTCAGTGTTGGCAGCACAGATTTAGTAAGAGTCACGTCGAGAGAATATATCTAAAAACAGTCCTGTTGGTTTGTTTCGCTTTCTCCTATTAAATATATTGAGACGTTAAAGATTTCTATTGTTATTTATTTTAGCTTTTCACAGTTCTATGCTCAGTCATTCATTTGTTTTGCTTAATATAGTGGCCAAGCTATTTGTCTCTCCTCCCACAGTAAATGGTTAACACCAGCCTTCGCTCTAGATTGGCTTTTAATGGTGAAACATCTATGAATCCAGCTCATTGTCTGAGTGTAACAGAGACGACCTGTTGAGCAGTATTCAGGAGGCCTAAAATGTGGAACAACCTGCTGAGAAATAGCCACATTGTGAACTTGGAAATATATTTTGATCAATTTTTCAACAGCATATGGGTCGCGTTACCAGCTGAAACGCACTTGCCTCCCAAGCAGTTGCTTATGTTTTGCTTTACGTCTTAAAAACCTCAGCGTTTAAATTATTGTAAAAACTACATCCACTTTCCCATCATACCTTAGCAGAGCAAAACTGGAAGTAGTCCTTGAATCAAACATGCTTGGTGTTGGAATATACTTTTAATCTACAGACAGGAGATATATATAAAAAATAAATATTTAACTTCTTAAAGCATAGGAAAAATAAACAACAACAAGTACAACAGAACCATCTAGCTTTTATATTAACCCTCTTGTTTCTTCTTGTACGTTTAATTCAAATGTATATTTCCCCTTCCAAGAGTTTTATCCAAGTTTATACAGACTAACTGCTCATTACGGACTACAATAAACAGCATACAACAGTATAAAGAAATGTGTCTCTTAAAGGCATCCTGAAATGCAATCTCTCTCTTTAAGTTTATTTGCTCTTGTTATGGCTCCAAGTTGGTATTATGTCAATTTATTAGAAATGCAACAAGATGTACCACAGATATGAGAGTTTAAACCTGATTTTAAAAAGGAAATTGGCTGACATGCAGCCGTGCATACTACATATGGATTTACTTGTTGCCAGAGTGTAATACTACTTTAAGGAATGTGTAGGTTGGTAGGTTATTCAGCTGATTGTAGCTCTCAATCTCCTTAATGCCAACAGCATTTTGTTACAGTAAATCTTTCCTGGAGTCATTGGGTTAAATTTAGCCTTCCAAAGTGTAGTTTATAATGTTTGGACTTGGTTACCATATGGCAGTAATAGAATTAATGAAAAAAGTAAAGCCTCATCCGCTCTGCATTGATCTCTGCCAGCCAAGTAAACAACTAGCCTTTTGTACAAGTTTATTTGCCAAGAATTGTGCAGATTGAAGTGAAGCATCGTGGTGATAATTGTATGAGAGAGGCGCAATGCTCCCAAAGCATCCACGTCGACATTTTCTTCAAACTCTCATTTTGGGTCAACTTTTGGTAAAGAATCCTCAAGACTGCACATCTGCTTACTTTAGAAAGAATGGCAGATTGCATTGTTTTGTTTCTACATATCCTTGAAATAAGTCACAGGAACTGGCTGCAATGTAAGAATGCATTTCATGAAGGATGAAGAGCCACACTTAATTTTGGGCCAATAGCCAGGTTGGTTTGAAATGATAGACATTGCATCCAACCTGTGAAGTTGAGAATGAATATATACATAAGAACACACATATCAAACTAGTTATTCATGCAGTGTACACACATATCAAACTAGTTATTCATGCAGTTTAACTCATCGTTCCCCATAAATTTTGGCACAGTTGAAGTTTGTCCATGAATTAAATCTACATTTTAATGTTTTCTACTGTTTGACTGGAGAACCTGACTGTAGAAATTTGTGGAACGTGGGATAGGCATAAGGCTATCCTAACTATAAGATAAGACTAGGGACTAATGAAAGTATTTAGAAAATTGGGCAGACTAGATGGGCCGAATGGTTCTTATCTGCCGTCACATTCTATGTAAAAATGCATTTGTTTAAATGTTAATATGTATGAGGTGTATTGCCAGAAGTTGTCAATTCCTTGTTAGATTATTCTAAATATATCTAATAATAAGAATTATAAATAAGAATAAAAAACAAAAAATAAAAATAAAATCATTCTAGTACAAAAATACTGAGTGTCGGAAAAAGTGGGTTTTCGGTTTGTTGTTTTGCACATTGCCTGTCAGGACCCTATCCTGACAACTAAGGTATTGTTTTATTTTATTGCTGCAATACCTGTTTCTTGCCTCTAGTGGCCTCCCTAGCCACTAGTCAATCCTCAGTTTCTCTCACCTGCCTCATATGATCTTCCGAGTCTGCTATGAAAGGCCACACCCAACTCTTCACATGGCCTTTACAATGAAGTCAGTGTTCTGACATAGAAATCAGTGTTCTGACATAGAACTTCTGATCCTGGCTCCTGAAAACATCCTGTATTTATCTGCATTATTTCAATATGAAGAGACTTACCTGCTTGATCTACCATAACTGCTTCAACTGCTGCAACACTCCATGATCCTGTAAGCAACCTGTATTACTTTATACTGGAGATAAAGGACTAGAGTGGAGTGACCCCCTCTCCAGAGAACGGACAGGTGGGTATTCACTCCACAGACCAATATCCCTCCAAAATTAATATTTCATATATAAATGGTATAACCTTTATTAAGCCGAATGGACATACAAACAAAAATAACGACTGTGATAGTGGTGAAACCAAAAGTGAAAGAACAAAGTGAAAATACACCTTTAAAATCCGGGAAAGATAGACCAAAACTGCCATAGAGATATACCAGTAATGAGATTAGGGGTCGGATCATTTACAAGAAATTATAGAGCAGCTCTCAATATGATGTATAGATAGATACCTGGTTGAATCTGTGAAAGAAATTGTATATGCGTGTGTATTTGCAGTTGTATATTAGTTTAGTGGGAGAGAGATTATTAGCTCTACCCTCCTAACCACAATGTACAGTCTCTTGTCAGGAGCTGGTATACAATGCATCTCAATTGTAACTGGTGAGAACCACACTTGGATACAGTTACTAAGTGGAATGCTTATAAACTAATCCCATAAAAAGTAGATACAACTTAACATTCAGCCTGCATAAACATAGACTCTATAGGAGGAGTAAAAGTGTTGGAAGGTTAGGGGTAGTTGTTAGAGGCAGATAGTGTTCAGTTAAAGGACCACTATAGTGCCAGGAAAACATCCTCGTTTTCCTGGCACTATAGTGCCCTGAGGGTGCCCCCACCCTCAGGGTCCCCCTCCCGCCGGGCTCTAGGGAGTGGAAGGGGTTAAACGCACCTCTTTCTCCAGTGCCGGGCAGGGAGCTCTCCTCCTCCTCTCCGCCTCCTCGGCTGAATGCGCATGCGCGGCAAGAGCCGCGCGCGCATTCAGCCAGTCTCATAGGAAAGCATTCACAATGCTTTCCTATGGACGTTGGTGTCTTCTCACTGTGATTTTCACAGTGAGAAGCACGGAAGCGCCTCTAGCGGCTGTCAATGAGGCAGCCACTAGAGGCTGGATTAACCCTAATATAAACATAGCAGTTTCTCTGAAACTGCTATGTTTATAGAAAAAATGGTTTAACCTAGCTGGACCTGGCACCCAGACCACTTCATTAAGCTGAAGTGGTCTGGGTGCCTATAGTGGTCCTTTAAAGAGGCGTTAACGTCCTATTGTTAGATGGAGAGGGTTCAATTTGTGAGTCACTCACATTGCATTCAAAGTCGAACTGGCATGCAGGTAACATGTAGGGTTAGTTTAGATTTCTTAAAACCACCCCAAATCGTCCACCTGCTACTATAGTCACAATGTTAGTGTCCCTATAATTAAAGTGAGCCTCCTAAATGCCCTCGAAAGTGGAACTACTGCTTGTCTCTAACACAAAAACAAAAGTTCCATAAATAAATAAAATAAAGTAAAATACAGAAACCTTCTAACTCTTGATGCAACAAGGGAGCAGTCCGTCTAATAAGCTGCTATGTAATAGCAGTCTGACAGATATCTAATACGGCTAGTGTAGGCTGTATATAGAGGTAAGGTAAAAAACAAGTTAACCCCTTTATTACTAAGACCGCATTATAGGTATCCTATGTCTAAGACATGGACTTCCCCATAGCCTACAGACTCACAGGAACTTGTCTCCCATAACGAAAATGTAATCAAGAATGTATACAATTGCCACTGCTAAATACTTGCTCCAAAGTAGGCTGCCTTTAAAGCTACCACCCTATGCCCTTGCTCATATCTCAGTGACATTATCTCAGTCACATTATCTACAGCTATCTAGATTCCCAGAGAGTAAAATCATATTAGACTGTCGGCAAGAGGAAACGCTCAACGCGCGTTTCGACGTGACAACACGCCTTTGTCAAGAGCTCCTGTCATCTGGACTCTGGCTTGAATATAAGGGAGTGTTGCCTCACCCACCAGTGAGTATAAGCCAATCATGTTCTTTATGGAGTACTGGGGGCAGGGCTTCTCGCTGATCTCTTCTGCCCCGCCTCCCAGTACAAGTAAGCCAATCAATTCCGTCATGGCATAAAGGGGTGGGGCTTGCCGCAAATCAGTTCCGCCCTTTAAACACTTCAATAGAGATCGTTATAAGTATGCAAATACGAACTATACCATTGCATCTAGTGGGTTAGTCCTTTATCTTCGTTATAATTGCAATTTGGGGTTCATGCCCTGGATATATCTGTAACCTTAAAGGGATATCAGTGCGGGCTTAGTCCAGCACTGTAATCCCTTTTCATCTTATTTTCTATACTTTATACTGGAATCTACTTAACTGTCTCAACTACTGAAACTCTGCATAATCCTATAAGCAACCTGAAGTATATTATACTGAAACTATTTACCAGCTTTAACTATTTCAACCCTGTATCATCCTGAACCTGGCTGCAGTGTGACATTCCACAAACTACTAATCTATTTGGGAATAACGTCAAACCTACTTGTATATAAAAGACTTTAATTCATTTGCTTTCAATATATCCCATTTGTGGCATATTGCCTTTATTCTGTTTTTACTCACAAAGTATCCTGTTTGTGGCATATTGCCTTAATTCTTTCTTTCAAGTAAACTGTTATATCTAAAAAGACAAATAAAGCTTCAACCAATAAACCCTGGCATTCGTCTCCTCTCTGACCTGCTCAGGAACATGACATTGCCGTTCCCCATGTCGTCCTTCCCATGTGAGCTCAGGATGCAGACTCTCTAATTCAAGTGTTATGGTAACTTGGTAAATCATTTTTTTTTAAATGTAATTTTAGACATTCATCTTTAGCAATTCTTCTTTAGCATCTCTTTAAAAGGAATGTATGTATTTGTCTGCTTAGCTAACAGGATCATATATCCAAAGTACTTGTTTGTAATGGGATAACAATATGATGATTTGCAGCTATGTCTCTCCAGAGATTGAATTGTAACCAGGTATACCTGTGTACAGAGGGTAGCAGACCCATTGGTTCTACCGTCCACCTTTTATATTATTCTGTTACTGTTAAAGGAAACCATTTATTCTTGTAGGATTTATCAAAGGTTAGGATTGCAGCTCCTTTACAAGAATGCACAACAATTATTTGCACACTACCTGTTTTCTAATGAAGAATTCATGTCTCTTAACAGTAAATTGCATCCAATTTTCTCACCCAACAGAGGTAATATATTGCCACTTATATTAATTTAAACACATTACACTGACTGAAATTCAAGACTAGAATGTTGTGTTACCAGTCAGAAAAATAAAGACTCACCTTCTTTTTTTTCTTTATAAAATCTACCATATGCTATACATTCCAGATTCTGGTCATAAATGAATTATTTGAAGCGTTCAGGTCTTCATTACAGCAGTTCTGTTTGGTAGAGACAGCATTCTTCTTCGATTTGGGAATAATTGGTTGTGTTTAAACTTCCTTTACCTGTTCAGGTCATGGAGTTCAGCGTCTATATTCAGTGCACATGCGATGTACCGCAATGACCTTTGCAGAGTGGCTAATCATTCATCCAGGGGTGGACATTAGACATAAGGTCTTTTGAGAATGTCCCCTTCATCCTGAAATGTTTCCCTGTAGCTTTTGGCACCCCAGAGTGGGCCAACACAAGTATGAGCCTTTATAAATACTAATAAAGAACACTTGACAAAGCCAATTGGCAACTTCTTTCCATCCAGAGAGTCTACAATCTGTGGCTCGATGCCTCATTTATCACCAGGTATTAATAAAATCTCCTATAGAAAGAAAAAAAAGCAAGTGTGAGAGAGGGTCTTATTTAGAAGGAAACCACTACATTTCCAAAATAAATTTTAAGTGACAAAACATTGCTTATGAGCTTCTCAACAGGCTGATGCATATACAGTGTCTGTAGACCAGTGCTGGGTTGATAAACAAATCTCTTGCCAGGATGCCAGAGTGCCAAAGACGGATCCTGTTACATATTTTGCATTGCATTTTAAGTGTGTACGTTCAATCTGTCAATATTTAAAGTGAGTACGCTAAACAGCCTGCTGAATGGCTTGATCATTTTCAAAGATTTTACTTTGCTCCTTTTTGTTCTGCGATATTATTTTTTATCTTTCCTTCAGAATTAGCTTTAAGACACTTTTTTTTTTTTTTTTGTGAAAATTAATTGTTCTGCATTGGCTTATTTAACATTCCAGATGGATGACATATGCACCCTGCAACTGTGGATTTGTTCAACTGTTTGTGTTTTTTATTTTTTAAATTGAGGCAAAATTGTAATGAGGCTGAGAGGGAACCCAGTAACCGTTCACACCCATAAGGTATGTATGCTCAATCTGTAGGAATAGTGATACAGTGAGGGAAAAAAAATATTTGTTTCCCTGCTGATTTTGAACGTTTTCCCACTGACAAAGAAATGATCAGTCTA